GTTCCCAGAGTAAAGGTGAGCTTATATTGACTAATAGTAAATTCAGTTTCCCTAAAACCACCACATATTCATCATTTATATTTAGATTGTCTCCAATGTCATTTTAAGTGATGGATATATACAGTATATGGCTTACAAAAACATACATAAATATACACAAACATAAATATACATTTTTATAGTGTTAATTATGTAAATACTGTACATATGATGTAAAATGAAATACTGATTTGAATTTGTATATGCTTATGATTTTAAAATATAATTATGTATTATTAAATATTGATTAGAATAATAATAATTAAAAAAAAAATATATATATATATATATATATTAAATGTACTTATGTAAATATATGTTTAAAATTAGATATGATTTGAAATTAAATATAATAATGAATTAAAAATATAATTATGTAAATATATGATGTCAAATTAAACATTGATTAGAATTTAAATATAACTTTGTAAATATATATTGTTAAAGAAATGTAATTTAAATATAATTATGTGCATATATGATGTGCAATTAAATATAATTATGACTGTCAAATATTTATATGTAAATATTAGTGCTGTCAAACAATTAATCGCGATTAATCACTTCCAAAATAAAAGTTTTTGTTTACAAAATATATGTGTGTAGATCGTGTATATTTATTATGTATATATAAATACAAACACATGCATGTATATGTTTAAGAAAAATATGTTATGTTTATATATTAAATATATTTATATAGAATATAAGAATATGAATATATAAATGTATAAGCATGTAAATATTTTTAAAATGTATACTGTATGTGTGTCTTTATATATACATAATAAATATACACCGTACACATACATATATAATGTAAACAAAAACTTTTATTTTGGATGTGTTTGACAGCACTAGTAAATATATATTATGTAAAAATAAATATTGATTTCCACAGTGTAAATAAAAAAAGAAAAATCAAACTTGTAAATGAAATAAAGATTATTGAAATATTTTTACAAGATAGTAGTTTCATTCTTCTTGATTCAAAATGTCATGTTTAATTAAACGTGTTACTTGCAATTCCTTGAAATTATTTGTACAATTTTCACAATTTCTACACCAAATATTTTCCAGTTTATTTTAGATATAAGAATAAATGTAAAATATAATTTTGTAAATATATTCTATGTAAAAGTTAATATTGATTAGAATTTAAATATGACTTTTAAATGTAATTATGTAGATATATGATAAAAAAATAAAACATATATTATGCCAAATTAGATATTGATTTTAATTTCAAATATAATTATGTAACTATAAATTATGTCAAATTAATTCAAAATGTCACGTTTAATTAAATGTGTTACTTGCAATTCTTTGTCAAATTTTCATTTCGCAATTGAGTGAAAATTGTTTCTACACCAAATATTAGTCAGTGCATTTAAATTGTTTTATTATGATGAGACACATGAAACTATATTACATGTAGGATATATACTGTATGTTTTCATATAAATGATTAAGTGTAAGTGTATGATTTATTTCTAAAGCCGATGACCATCTCCAGACAAAAGAGGAGCAGCTTCAGTCCAGTGAGTCCCAGGAAGAGGCCTCCAGACTAGACAGTTTACTGCAGATGGCTCTTCTGAGCACGGTGGTGTTTCACGGTGCCTGGCAGAAACAATTTCTCTTCACTGACACCCAGAACCTGCCCTTCAGCCTCTCAGACGGCAGCACAGTCAAAGTCCCGATGATGTACCAGTCAACCGAAGTCAATATTGGTAAGAGGAGGAACAAGACCTATTGTTCTGCTAAGAGCGTATATATTTACCTGTCCACCTGTCTTAGGGCATTTCCGCCTGCCGTCCGAGCAGGAGTACACGGTGCTGGAGCTTCTGTACTTGGATCGCTCACTCAGGCTACTGGTGGCCTTACCTAGTGACCGGAAAACCCCTCTGGCCCAGCTGGAAAAGCAGCTCACGGCCCGTGCTGTGGGACTGTGGGATACTGGATTAAGACGCACTAAGATGGATATATTTCTGCCCAGGTAACTGCATGCAAAAAAATAAAAATTACTTGTGAAATATTATATTATGCTAATTGGATATATCCTTGTTTTGTGTGTTTTAGGTTTAAGATGCAGAGCAGGTTCAATCTGAAGCCTGTTTTACAGTCTCTCGGTATCTCTGATGTCTTCAGTCCCTCAGCTGCTGATTTTAGAGGCATCTCAGGTAAAACCAGTCATAGATGCTGGGAAATAATCACAAACACCATCAGTTTAAATCAATGATTCACTCTGTGAAGAATAAGCCTTCTGTTTGATATGTCTACAGACGGAGAAGGGCTTTTTGTATCGGAGGCTTTCCATGAGGCAAGAATAGTAGTGACAGAGGAAGGGACAAAAGCAGCTTCAGCTACAGGTATGTGACATTTTACTTGCTGGAAGAAAAAATGTTAATGAAGACTGATCTGACTCTGTATTGACATACCAATATCATAATATAGACTTCATGTTATGCCTGAATTATTTATTTTTCCAGCTGATAAAAGATAAAAACATAGACAGCCAATCAGAATCCGTCCTGCTTTAAAGAGCTTGAGCATTTGAGCAGCAGATGACAAAACTGCAGCGCATGCTTATAATAAACACAACATTATCATCCGTTAGTGTGGACACTGATATAGTTAAAACAAGCCTCAAGTCCTTGTGAAACAAATTAAAGAAACATTATTCTGTTGTGAAGAGGACAAAAGCACATCTGGATATTACCAAATATTAGCCCTGATTTTTTTTTTGAAGATGTAAGATGTAATCTTTTATATGCTCAGCAAGGCTACTCCCTGGTGTATGTGTACCTGGCTGAGAATCAGTTGTAGTCAACAGATGGGATATAGTTGAACAGACTGTTCAAGCTGTGAATCGGCTGGGAAATAACTGATGACTGAGCTTTCTTCCCCTATCTTTCTTTTTAGCAATGGTGCTATTGAAAAGATCCCGATCAGCGGTTTTCAAAGCAGATCGACCATTTCTCTTTATCTTACGGCAGATCAGTACAGGTAAATACTAAAATCTGGAATTATAACTGATAGCATATGCATTCTTAAAATTACTCTACCCTGACATTAAATTGTATATAACGGCCAAACATTTGAGGTCAGTAAGATTCAGAAATACAGTAATATTCTGAATTATTATTACTATTTAAAAGTTTATTTGAACCAATTTTCTATTTATATTATTTACAGTGTAATTTATTCATGTGATGGCAAATCTGAATTTTTCAGATTTTTCACTCAAGTCTTGTCACATGATATAATAAAAGTATTAATTTCGCTTTATTTTAAGGTGTCATTGTTACAAAAGTTACATGTACTTACTATAATAATACTTAATTATGCATAATTACATGCAAGAAACCCTTAGCCAAACTCTAACCATATAGTGAGTACATATAGTTAATTAATATTACTCTGTACTTAAATGTATAATTACACTGTAACAAGGACCTTAAAATAAAGTGTAACCAAAAAAGAAAGAAAAAAAAACAGACCCAAAATGTTTGTATTGTACCTAAGAGAGAGAGAGGTCAATTACATTTACATTTAGGGACTAAATTTGCAGGGACTGCAGATGTAATTCTCCATAGAGTGATCATCATAAACAATGTTATTAGTCTAAATGAACCCACACAGATCTGCATGACATCTATTTTGTGACATTGGAGAATCAGTTTAATTTGTAGGTTTTTACTCCACAGGGTCATTGCTGTTTATAGGTCGAGTTCTGAATCCAGCTGAGATGTCTTGAGATGATACATGCAATCACAACGAGGTCCAATGACAAACACACACAGGAGACTTGTGTTAATATACATTTGTATGATTTTGCCAACTCAACACACCCCTCCTCCCTCATGGGTGGGGGGTCAGAGGGATATCTGACTTTTGTACAGATCTGTAAATAAAATTTTATTACATCAGGGTTTTTGCACTTCAAAGTGTCTGCTGTCATTTTTTTCCCCATCTACCCTCGATAAATTTCCTCAATTCTGATGGAAATGTTTAGTAACCATCAGTTACTAATTTCATGGATCTCAGAAATAAGTATTCCGTTTAGTACTGAGCCACACATTTAATAACGTTTGAAAATTTGTAAGGTCTAGAACCAAAACTACCCAAGTAGCTACAGCTGTCCGCTTCATCAGTCTATGGTTTAGCAATAGCCAAAAAAACATGACAAGCCACTTCGATCTTTATCCCTGCAAACTGATGGGTTTAAGTATATAGAAAACACAATGAACACGGTAAGATTTGCAATCTTTTTTAATGTCATTGTGCCACTGAGAAATTAATGACAGAAAAATGTCACTTATTTACATGACTATTCACAGTGTAAAATACTTTATTCAAATACATACAAAAAAAGGCTTTCCACCAAAACGTTCTTAAATAATATTTTCAATGTCACCATGTACATATATACAGTATAATAAAATACTTTTTAAAGAAGCCTTTCTCCTTTATCGGTAACATATGGCAAAGATTTGGTCCCTACATTAGGGTGCAGGGTTAAGAGGGTGAGATACACAAAAGACAGACCAAAAAAAAAAAAATGAGCTAAGGATTAATGGATATTTGGCAGTAATGTAGGAATACATTAGCAGCAACTTCCCATGTCAATGAATAAGTGGCTCTAAACTCCATCCTGAATGATTAAGTACCAACTTTACATAGTTTGGGTGTTTCATTATTATATCCTTCCGGTTGTTGCTTCTGTAAATCAAACGGGGTTACTCTGTGCAGAACGGTCGTTTGCAATTTTTAGTCAAGAGAGCAAAAGTTCACAGAAGTTTGTCATGGTTCTGTGGTCTGAAAACCACATGGCATGCTACAGAAGGTCTTTTGCTAAAGGCAAAACAGTTGCTTGAAGCCATGTTTAATAATGCTGGGTGGTTTAAAAATAAAAGTGGCAAATTTGTTTTTATAGATTAAAAAAAAACTACACTTTTGTGAAACGAGAAAGAGCTTTTTAAGAATATTGGGAAAACAAAATTCCAGAAAGATGTTCCACTGCTGCCAAATCTTCTGCAACATCATTCCTGAGATGAGTTATATAACAAAGAACAATTGACTTTTGGAGTGTGCAAGTCTACATATAATTACAAAACCTCCAAGTCACTCAAACCTCCAACTTTAAAGAATTGCTTGGTAACTCACCTTTTTATTGGTGTAGAATATTGCTGATTTAGTTGCTTTATTAAGAGAGAACCAACCTAAACAAATGTGATTTCCAGAAAATCATCCGTCTTGTCTGATGAGACATTATCATATAAAGGGGAATTCTGAAGAGCAGCTGACTTTTGTTTGAGTGGCGTTTGTGGTGCGGGGGGGGGGGGGGGGGGGGGGGATACAAAAACGCAAACGAGGAAGCCAATGCCAACCAATTCTCTTTGGCACATTTAAATTTGGAAAAAATGCCTTAAAACAAAAAATAAAAGAAAGAGCAGTGCGTGCGCATGACCATTTGTTATAAGAGCAACTTTTCCCATTTCTCCCAATCCTGAGGTTTAGCGACAACCCATCAAGTCCTCATTGATAACATCAGCTTCAATACTGATAAAGACTGGAGACACACAAGTCCAAAATAACATTACATAAATAGTGCAGATATGTGCGCGAGTCCTTCAAGTAGGACAGATGGAGTGCTCAGAAACCGTCCAGATGATTCATGCTGTTGGCTCTTAAGTGAATCTCCTCCAAGAAGTTCTCCAGCTGCTCAATTAAGACCCTTTTCTTAAACCTACACACACACACACACACACACACACACACGTAATTTGATAAGTAATTAGAGAGCTTTGTCCATGAAAACAACATGGGGTTATTTATATTAATGAAAGCAGTATTTTGGGTTTGCACATCAAGACATACTTCAGGTCTGAATGCTTCTTATACATGTATAGCTGAACACATAACTGAAAGTATAGTCCATTTGATAGCACAGATAATAGATAGTGTGTGATGTTTCACACACTTTAAGCGATTTTCTTTTCCAAATGTAATCGGATTAGTCCAACGAATCAAATCGTTTGCGGTTTGTAATGTTTACCGAACCTAAAAGCCTTGTACCAAACGGTTCAATATGAATACGTGTGTATTGTTACACCCCAAACAAATAAATAAATATTTAAACTCATTTAGACTAGAGTTGTGAATGCTTTAAAAAAAAAAATAAAAAAAAAAAAAAGTATACTTGGGGCTTTAACCTTTCAAATATCAGTATGTAGAGTTAGCATCTACTTGAAAAATCAGCATTTGAATCTGGAGTATACCTGGCAGCCTCTTTGATTATGCTCTGCAGAAAGATCAGACGCGTTTCCAAACTGCCCTGGATTTGCTTGAGGAGGTAGAAGATTTTCTCATAACCTGCATTAAGACAAAAGAGAAAAGAAAAAAAAAAAAAAAAAAAAAAAAGGCCATTGGGTGAGAAGAAAGGTTTGATGTATGGTGTTATGAGCAATGACAAAAAACAACTGTAAAACCACAAGAACAAATTAATTTCCAAAACCCTGTAATATTTATTACAATGTAAAAATAAAAATGACAAATAAAAACCAGCTGTAACAATGTTACAGATTTGCACATGTAGCAAAAGCAAGCATGGCCAGTTTATTTCACAAGGCCCAAGACAAAGCGTTTGTGGTTGGTCACCCCTCCTTCACTTATTGGACACCACCCAGGAAAGAGCATCAGGAGAGGAAATGAGAGACAAGTAGCAGACATCTGCACATGTATATGTGCGCTGTGACTCACGTCTGCCAGGCTTCCTGATCTCCTTGGTGATGAGTACTCGGAGTTCAGAGTTCAGTTCCTGGCTCTCTTGGTTTCTGATCTTCTTCAGTTGGCAGGGGGAAGGGTAGCGGTGTGGGGCCTCCTCTTCACCCTCGCTGCCCAGAGAAAACTCACTATCGCTGGACTGGCCGTTCTCCTGCACTCTGTTTTCCTGTTTCTCGACCTCATCCAGCTGAAGGAGGTTCCTCTGCTGGATCAGTTCAGACTCGAGTGCAGGACTCGGCTCCTTGTCCGAGTTGCGGTATGACTCGAGATGGTTGTTGATGTGATTGCCCAATTCGGTCTCATCATTATCTGGATCTGTGTTGAATCAGATATGAAACATGCATAAAACTGAAGATTCAAAGTTTCGCTCACAGAATAAGGGTGAGTAAATGAAAGGATTTTAATTTCTGAATGACCTGCTACTAAAGGGTTATATTCTGCCTTTGTGTGCTGGTTACTTACTTCTAGGTGGTGTTTTGGGAGGTGTATATGCTCGTCCCAGCCGAAGCAGAGGAGACATACAGCGTCTGCGTTTGGGGGCCCCGCCCCCAGCAGGACTGCTTGATTCTCCAGGACGTTTGCCTTTGCCTTGAGTGCCAGTAACAAATTCATCTGCCTCATCTACCATCATTGCCTGACACAGAGAGACAAAGTTATTTGCCTGAAAGTCAAATCTTTATTATGGTTTCTTTTTTTTTTTTAATTCAGAGATCTAAAGGTACCTTCTTGTCCAATTTGAAGGGGTTACCAAAGGTGTGCAAACGTTTAGGCTGATCGGGGTCTGCTTCTCTCAGAGGGGATGGGCAATGCTTCAAGAAATCTTGATAGTTGCCCATCTGAGCTATAGGAATACTGTGCAGCTGATCTAGAAAAATATTTATTATAAAAACATAAATAACATTCAAAACGTACCATGTAACAGCATAACCATATCAGATAAAACGGCTCACAATTCATTTGGAAACCAGAAGCTAAATTTAATTGAGCAAATAACCCAGATACTCTGTAAACTGCTTTAGGAAAATCAATAACCATTCATGGCTGTCCGAGCGTTACCTTGATCTTGACCTTTCAGAATACAGATGCTGGCGTGCAGAAGGTTCCGCCTCATGCGGCTCAGCTGGTCTAGCAGATGAGATCTTGGGATATCATAGGGGTTCCGCAGTCCTTGCGGTTTAAATGCCTGTGCAAAAAGAGAAGGAAACAGGAGATAAGTGATAAGTGATCTGGATTTAGTGAGAACTGAACATGGATGATTTGCTCAACTGTGTCCTGTTGGAATAGTTGGTTAGGCACAAAAACTTGACTCTAAACTGCAAATGTGCCATATGTAAAGCACTTGTATTAAATTCCAGCCCTCAAAATAAACAACATTAAATATTAATCTCACATCTTTGTGTACATCTTTGTGGTTTTGACCGCATGAAAACAGTACAAAACATTCACAAGGTGTACTGTATATACAGTTGTATATATCCGTACTTTATTCAGAGCAGCTAGTTGAAAGCCAGCAAACTCCTTGGTGTTTGCCTCCATTGGCAGAGCTGGCCCATCTCCCATGATACTGTTCAACAGCTGCGTGAAATCCTTCCTGTGTGCCAGAGAGAGGGCGGCGCTTCTGCAGCGAAGTTTAATCCCACCTTCAAGTGCTGCCTTTTTTCCTACTGATGCACAAACTCTGTCTGCCTCGATCTTTGCCTGTAATGTACACAGTATAAACTTCATGAAGCACGTTTAAGAATAAAGACTATAAAAACAAACTATGTTAGAACATACTTGCTGACTGAGCTTTTTGAGATAAGACACAACACTATAGCTCAGACCGCACTCCATGTTGTCAGCCAACAGGTTTGGAGCTCCCATCATTCTTAGTGCTTTCCGCAGGGCCTGCGTGAATCAGGATTAAGCAAAACACAAAATAACTTGAATGCATTCCAAAAGATACAATCACAATGTTGTAGTGTCAAAATTAATTACTGATTCCATTACTTACAGTGATATAGTAGGGTGGGACTGTTTTAAGATAGTTCTCAAAAGATTGTCGCCACTTTGCTGGAGGCTTGAACTTATGCACAGTAATCAAGTCATCTATAAATGATAAACAGTGTTATATATGACAGTTAGATCCATTAACATTCAAAGAAAACTGGTGGCTAGTTTTATTCTAGTTTGGTGGAATAAAATATCAAACAAACTAATTGCAAAGATTTTAAAGGTCACGTATTATACAGCTTTCTGGAGTTTTATTTTAGGTTTTGATGTCCTTAAGAATATATATTTGCAGGATAAGTACCAAAAACTATCTAAATATATTTTTACAGCTCCTATCTCAGGAGCTCTGCTTAGAACAGGTCGATTTTGGCCTGTCTAATTAATATGCATGAGCCTCTCTTCTGATTGGCCTGTTGTATTCTGAGTGACGCACGGCCAGGCCAACCACAGGTAACTAGGGTCATGTATGCTGTAGCCTGCAGGGGCAAATAGAAAAGTAGAAACACCTGTAATGGCCACTGCTGAGGGAAATGTTTTCCGGCCTTACATGTTTGAGCCGGAATGTCAGATTTGTTGAATGCCAATATTCGCATATATTTCCCAATATTCTTGTAGAATGCCAGAATGCCGTTTGAGCAGGTCAGACCCCCAATCGGCTACGACAGGTGACAACCAACCACCTCATCAAATGCGCTTACAACAGGATGTTTCAGAACGGTAATTACCAATTTTTTTTTTAAAAACCGAATGCAGTAATCTATGTAACTATTGCTTTGCTACTGATACAACACATCAGCATCAAGTTAGCAACACGTTAGCATTGCATAACCATTTACAAACTATATTTTCAGATTATGCTATCTCCATAATGTAACAAAATATGTGAGAAGTTTACTAACGGTTTGCGGACATTACATAATGCCCGTTATATTACAGTACATAAAATTTCACTTACCACATAAACAGAGTAAGGAGAGGTGACTGAGAACGATGGTGAATTGCAGATCCTGAGCACCACTGACAAACATCTACTCTTGTAAAATGTGTGGTAAGTACTGCAACTCCATAATATAAACGAAGTACGTGCGATCGCGAATCTCGAAAGTGAAAGTGAAACAAAAATTGTGCATTCAAAAGCAGTTTCAATGCCAGGCATAATAGCGGCTCCCTGCCTGATGCCCGCAATTTAAACCGTATAATTACCCAATGATATAACTGCAAGAGAAAATATTGAAATATATATTTTCCTCTCATCTAGTATTGATTAACTTTAGGGGTTCCGTAGTACAAGTCATTTTCTTTCCGAACACGGTATTGGGATGCGGCCGGATTGCGGGTGGTATGAGGGAGAGGGGGGGGATGGGAGGATCATGATGCCGGCTCAACATCGTGAAGTCTATCAGCCATCGGTGACGGACGATGGCATCGTCTATCGGCCCAACCCTAGCTGGGTAGCCTGTGCAATGATGTAGTTTCCTAAAATCCATCGACTGAACAGCGTTTTCTCGACATGTTTGTTGTTGTTGCCGACTGTAGTTCTGACATCACCTTTTTAGGGAAGTCACAACGGCTCGTGAAAAGGCACAGCTACTTTATGCAGGCTGTGTGCATTTGTCTGTGGATTGACTGTTTTGAAACTTATATGGTAGTTACATAACCCTTAGACCTCGGTTATCATGAAAAAAGCCAGGAAATTTCAGTTTTGACAATATGGGACCTTTAAAGACAAGACAGAACTAGAGAAAAACCGACCAATTCTTTTTATGAATTATTCCTTTCATACCTCCATATGATAAATTAGATTTACTAATGAAGCTTACCAAGCAAAGGCAGCACCACAGGGTAGTTATAGGGCATGACAAACAGGTTGACACAGTTAAGAGCTGTGCTGGCCTTCACATAACCAAACGGCTGCCCGAGTTCTCCGTATTTAGCACTGTTACACACAAAAACCTGAGAACATATAAAACAGTAATTAACAACTTGCACTAGCAAGTTAGTGCAGTCTGAGAGAACATACAGCCTACATGTAACCTGACCAGTGTGTATAAATGTGCTTAAAAGATTGATACGAGCAGTACCTGCCAGCAGGTGTGTGGTGATTTCCTTGCCAGTATGTACTGAGTGAGCGGAGAAGGCTCTAGTTCGTACTTGTCAAAGGGCACTTTATCCACCACCATGGGCTCCGAATCAACACATGAAAACTTCACCTGCGGGTGAGCTGCACGTGGAGGCTGCAGAGGGACAGAGTCAAATGAGCAGACAGTACACTTGCATGGCTTAGAACAGGGGTGCCCAAACTCGGTCCTGGAGGGCCGGTGTCCTGCAGAGTTTAGCTCCAACCCCAATCAAACACACCTGAAGCAGCTAATCAAGGTCTTAACTAAGCATACTAGAAAATTCCAGGCAGGTGTGTTGAGGCAAGCTGGAGCTAAACTCTGCAGGACACCGGCCCTCCAGGACCGAGTTTGGGCACCCCTGGATTAGAAGTTTTCATTACACTAGAAAAACCAACAGAACATATACACATTACATTGGATATAAAACAGACTGAACAGATGGTAGAGCGTACTGAAAATTTTTTTAAATACCAAAGTAGGACAACCAACCACCTCATCAAATGCGCTTACAACAGGATGTTTCAGAACGGTAATTACCAATTTTTTTTTTAAAAACCGAATGCAGTAATCTATGTAACTATTGCTTTGCTACTGATACAACACATCAGCATCAAGTTAGCAACACGTTAGCATTGCATAACCATTTACAAACTATATTTTCAGATTATGCTATCTCCATAATGTAACAAAGAAGTTTAGAAGTTTACTAACGGTTTGCGGACATTACATAATGCCCGTTATATTACAGTACATAAAATTTCACTTACCAGAGTAAGGAAGTAAGGAGAGGTGACTGAGAACGATGGTGAATTGCAGATCCTGAGCACCACTGACAAACATCTACTCTTGTAAAATGTGTGGTAAGTACTGCAACTCCATAATATAAACGAAGTACGTGCGATCGCGAATCTCGAAAGTGAAAGTGAAACAAAAATTGTGCATTCAAAAGCAGTTTCAATGCCAGGCATAATAGCGGCTCCCTGCCTGATGCCCGCAATTTAAACCGTATAATTACCCAATGATATAACTGCAAGAGAAAATATTGAAATATATATTTTCCTCTCATCTAGTATTGATTAACTTTAGGGGTTCCGTAGTACAAGTCATTTTCTTTCCGAACACGGTATTGGGATGCGGCCGGATTGCGGGTGGTATGAGGGAGAGGGGGGGGATGGGAGGATCATGATGCCGGCTCAACATCGTGAAGTCTATCAGCCATCGGTGACGGACGATGGCATCGTCTATCGGCCCAACCCTAGCTGGGTAGCCTGTGCAATGATGTAGTTTCCTAAAATCCATCGACTGAACAGCGTTTTCTCGACATGTTTGTTGTTGTTGCCGACTGTAGTTCTGACATCACCTTTTTAGGGAAGTCACAACGGCTCGTGAAAAGGCACAGCTACTTTATGCAGGCTGTGTGCATTTGTCTGTGGATTGACTGTTTTGAAACTTATATGGTAGTTACATAACCCTTAGACCTCGGTTATCATGAAAAAAGCCAGGAAATTTCAGTTTTGACAATATGGGACCTTTAAAGACAAGACAGAACTAGAGAAAAACCGACCAATTCTTTTTATGAATTATTCCTTTCATACCTCCATATGATAAATTAGATTTACTAATGAAGCTTACCAAGCAAAGGCAGCACCACAGGGTAGTTATAGGGCATGACAAACAGGTTGACACAGTTAAGAGCTGTGCTGGCCTTCACATAACCAAACGGCTGCCCGAGTTCTCCGTATTTAGCACTGTTACACACAAAAACCTGAGAACATATAAAACAGTAATTAACAACTTGCACTAGCAAGTTAGTGCAGTCTGAGAGAACATACAGCCTACATGTAACCTGACCAGTGTGTATAAATGTGCTTAAAAGATTGATACGAGCAGTACCTGCCAGCAGGTGTGTGGTGATTTCCTTGCCAGTATGTACTGAGTGAGCGGAGAAGGCTCTAGTTCGTACTTGTCAAAGGGCACTTTATCCACCACCATGGGCTCCGAATCAACACATGAAAACTTCACCTGCGGGTGAGCTGCACGTGGAGGCTGCAGAGGGACAGAGTCAAATGAGCAGACAGTACACTTGCATGGCTTAGAACAGGGGTGCCCAAACTCGGTCCTGGAGGGCCGGTGTCCTGCAGAGTTTAGCTCCAACCCCAATCAAACACACCTGAAGCAGCTAATCAAGGTCTTAACTAAGCATACTAGAAAATTCCAGGCAGGTGTGTTGAGGCAAGCTGGAGCTAAACTCTGCAGGACACCGGCCCTCCAGGACCGAGTTTGGGCACCCCTGGATTAGAAGTTTTCATTACACTAGAAAAACCAACAGAACATATACACATTACATTGGATATAAAACAGACTGAACAGATGGTAGAGCGTACTGAAAATTTTTTTAAATACCAAAGTAGGAGAGTTCTGGTCAGGCCAAAATGACTCCGGGATAGGCCAATGACCAACAGGAACACCGGTTTTAGGGTTGGGTCTGACATAGATCATCTTATGACAGCTGTGCCATGATTGAGGTCCATACTTCATTTCTATTGGGCCATCTGGGTAAAACAAAAAAAGTAGCGTCATTATTAATGGCCTGGTTTAAACTTTTTGTAAAGCATACACTCCAAGCATACCATTCAAATGTTTGTTTGGGATCAATATGTTTTTTGTTTGTTTTTGAAAAGGAAGTAATACTTTTATTCATTATTAAATTGATCAAACATGACAAAGACTTTGAAATTGTTACAAAAAGCTGAAAATTCAGATTTGCAATCACAGGAATAAGTTGCATTTTAAAATATATTAAAATGGAAAACTTTTAAATTTTAATAATTTCTCAATTTTTTTTACTGTATTTTTACTGTGTAATATAAAGTCTTCTGTGGCTGAATAGTGTTCACGTTTGAATACTAAAATAGTAATCTGCACCATTGGATTTATGAAGTATCCATCTATATCCACCATATATCCATATTGGTCACAACCAAAATTTAAAAAAAAATAGCAGTTATTTTTATTAATATGCACTTTACTGAAATACTACTGAAAATATAACTACAAAAACCAGGACCTCCTTTACCTTCAGTAGGTGGAGGATCAGGTCCAGTCTTCTCAAAATTAATGACCACACCACTCTGGATTTTCTGCACCAGAGACTCCAGACACTGGTTCAGCATTCTCTGGGAAAATACGCTGTATGAACGGCCTAAACACACAGCAGAAAAAACACCATCAAAAGACACTTAGCAATTGTATCTGACATGTGAGCTTTAACATAAGTGCTTACATGTACATTTTATCCACAACTATTCATGTTTAAAGTAACTTAATACCGTCTGGTTTAAGATGAAACCATTTGCTGTGGCCTTTTTTTTCTGGCCAGTTCATTGGCAGGCCACAGCTATTCACATATGCATGCACACACACACACACTACACAGCAGCTGCTCTATTGTGTTTAGTATTTTATCAGAACGAGGACAGACGTTGTTCCTCTCTTTATAGTGAAGTTCAGCTCGTCTCTATTACACAGCTGTATTAGTCAGCACACACGAGTCCAGCAGAATCTGCCCTTAACCACAAACCAGCAATTCTCTTCAATTCACAATTCGAACACCATTTCACAGCACCTAAACACCACCCGACAGGTACGACCTGACATTTACTCAGCAGGGCATGTAGAGCTTTTTAAAGAGCAGTCTAAATTTACTCTGTAACCTCAAACCTATAAATATCCAATTCTAAATGTTATTTTAAACGCAAAAAAGACAAAAGAGAAACAAAAATCGTGTGATCTTACATGCTTGCTCATGAACAATTCTCTCTCAACTTCTGGCAAATTCTTGCAGAGGGGCTATATAGTAGGGATGTTAATTCTTCGTGTTAAGATTATTTTCCGAAACCTGGTTCTTTTGGACCGTTTGCTCACGTAATCATGCAGTGATGTCACATATATGCAACTCTATTATTAAAGCACCCAATACTTGTGTGAAATGCAGATTTTTTGCATGCATAAAACACAAATTGGTGAGTCAAGAACGGTTGTAGCCATTCACGATCTCATGACTACAGAGAGATTCGTTATTAGGGTTGAATCTGAACTGCTGCCATCAGACAACAGTTATATTTCCTGTTATACCTTTTATTTCTTATACTTTATGCAACTTATCAAAAAATAAAATGTTCACTTATAAGTAGTTAAAATGCATACACACCCCCAGTGACCTCACACATGGGCGTAATAGGGGATGGGTCAAGTGGAACTCCACCTATTGGTTCAGGGTCAGGAGAGGCGTGGCCTGGAATGCGGAGCACTAAAGAGAAGAGTCGCTGGTCCCATCGGAAGGGCTCTTTGGTCAGCTCACTGCCAGGCAACGGTGTTGTCAGGGGCAAATGTAACTGGAGCAGAGAAAGAGAATGAATTCATTCATATGTCAGCATATAAATGGAAAAATCCCTGGGGGAAAAAAATCTGTAGGATACATTGACTATTGCTAATTTTATCAGCTACTTTTACAGATCTGCAAGTCATTCTGTCAAAGAGAACAATGGATGTTAGATATGAAAAGGAAGGAGTGAACTATATCAAGAGGAAAAGTTTAAGGAGAAAGAACAAGCAGGAAATGGCAAGTACAAAACAAAATAGGAAACTCATGACTAGACAGGATGGCCATCACAGAGGAAATCCTTAAAGTCCGGCCCATACTGACAAATAACCCACCTCGTCTTGTACACCAGAACTGCTGGTCAGCTTGCTGCCATCAGTTATGGCCACAACGATAGCAGGCTCCAAGAAAAAAGGGTTCCTACCCTATAAAAGACAAGACAATATAACCATAAAAAAAACTGAGCACCAGCAGTGGAGCTCATTAGAGAAAAGCATAGCTTGAAACACACCCACTGTTTTTGATGTTAACTATAAGGTAGTTAAACTGCTTTTATTACACAAACCAAAAATATGGCACATATGCACTGATAAAATAATACATAATTATTAAAATGCTCTGCTCTTTCAATAATTATTAATCTTAATCATATCATCAGCACAGTGCCGTTTTATGGATGAATTTATTTCTGAAACAAATACGTGAACCAGAAACCAAGAGAGATCCATTACTAAGTATTCACAATAATATAAGGAGAGAGTTTGTATCTAAATTTACCACAGGCAGAGGAAAGATTTAATGACCCGTTTTTCTTGTGTCATGTCACTACATGCAGCTCCATTACATGCCAATAATAAACGTAGGAACAGTATATATAATCTAAATCATATAACCATGGCATATATCAGAGACTCCTTTTCTGTCTAAATCTAAAAAAATAAAAATAAAAAGTTCAAAATCTCTGAAAAATTCCTGATCATGCAGATTTCTATTGCAATGACTGGATTTCACCTGCGAAAGCCACAGTAAATGTAAATGGTAAAGGAATCAGGGCTGTGAAAAAATTTAATTACATGACAGGTGATATAATTAGATGTAATTAATTGGCATATATATATGCCATCAAGTGAAGACAGTAACGTGCTTAAAACGAATAAGAACATTTAGTATACTATCTGCATAATAACACCCTGGAAACCAGCCAGAACACCCTAGAATCATGCATGGACACGAACCACTCATATTTGATTGAAAAAAAGTGAAAATGTAATAAAATTAATCTTCCATGAGTGATCAAAATATACAAATAACTTTTATCATTACATCTATGTGAGGTAATGTTGAATCTGTTGAACTTTCACAGCTCAACATGCAGAAATACAAGAACTGTCCTTAAAAAACAACAACAAAGAACTAGAAATTTTTTCAAAAGAAAGCACGGAAAAAAAGCATTACCAGCGCCTACTACAAGACCTGCTTTTCAGTTCGTCATTACCCTTATTTGCATCCAAGATGCAGTTTAGTTGTTACTACTGCGTGTCACCAGGGGCTCTTGGGATTGTGTTGGCACAGTGTGAGCATATTGGGTGCTTATTTAACTGTGATGTGTTGGGGATGGGCTCATGGGGCTATGCCATAGACTTTATACCAGTCCCTGGTTTATAACATACCTGTCCATAGTTGTCTATCCCGGAAACTAATCTATTGAGATTGAGCAAATCAAAAGCGGTCCGTAAAGACTGGCCGATTGATGTCAATCCAACTGCTTGCAGGTTCCTCAGCTCAGTCATAAAAGTGGCGTGACTGTCCTTCCATCCAGCCTGAAATATCAAGGCACAGAAAATGATTAGTTATGCCTTTTAAGAGATCCTCACATCAAAATTCTTCAGACAGACAGCGTGATCTGAAATTTGATTTGGGGTATTAATGTAGAGGGCAGAAAAGTCCTCACTCTCTCTGGGTGGGAAAACTAAGTTAGGTTAGCCCCTCGTCTCTCTTTTCTCAAGCACACGCGCACGCGCGCGCGCACACACACACACACACACACACACACACACACACACACACACACATAGAGCTCTCTGCTGCCACACTGAACAAAATGTCGGCCATGTTTAAACACACAAATTTATGCTGGACAGAATGTTTTCACACTACAAATTTAGCCGTGGTGTTTTGAGCGCTGAGAGTGTCTGGAGTGAAATAAATCAGGTTTGGAAAGGAATAAAAGAGTTTGTACCTTAATTCCAGCCGGTGCTTCCTCGAAACTCACTAACATGTATCTGTCTCCCCTGCTGGCCGGATCTCTGCTCCTCAGCTGTGGAGAAAAGCGAACGGAAACGCAGTTTTTTTTGTAAGTTTTCAGTAAAGTGAGGGTGTGAAGCAGAGGTGTGTGTTCATTTACCTTCAGGAAAGTCTCAACTGCGCCCTTCGCTATGTCCAGATAGCTAGTGCCCAGATGGGAGCGCTGGTTCATGGAGGCGGACGTGTCTATCAGGAAAAGTAACACGGGCATTGTGGTGATAATCGCCCCTTCTACATGGACCGGATGTCAGTGCAAGCTGACAAATGCAGAGCAATCTTTTGTTCGCCTCCTGTCGCTGCTGTCAGCACGCTGCTAGCCGGCTAATGCTAACTGACTCGCGCATTCTTTCTGTCAGAGTGTAACTGTAGTTAGTGTTGAAAGAGCGATGCCTTGTAAACTTAAGCAAACCTCAGACCCTGGGGGGGAAAGGTTGTTGATTTACAAGGGAAACGAGTGTTGTTGCTGTAATTTGAAAGAAATGCCTAACTTTTATCATGGTAACTTTCTGTTTAGTTTACGTCCATGATTCTCCTCACACTGAGGTCTGCTCGCGGGCTGCGGTGGTTTTATTCTGCGTTCAGCGCTTGACTCCGCCCCCTGAGCGCTGCCGGAGCACTGTGCGTCAAAACGCCTCAACTGATTGGCACCTGAAAATGAGTGATTAGCATATTCTAAAAAAAAAAGAGGCTGAAAGGGACAATGCGCATTTGTAGACCTAATGATTTATATTATTATTATTGAAAAAAATGTATACATGCACTTACGTTCAAATCTACGTACAATGAACATTAAACACAATGCATACAAAACAACAAGGAGAAAACGACTGCATAAATTTTTTTTAAAAAGTGCCAAATATAAAAATCAGAATAAGTATACAATCTTTAGCCGTGCAGCCTTACTTAAGCCAACAAAACCATAAAGTTGTTTTTATTAGTACATTTGCGTTTATGAATGTGAAACTTGGTCAGAAATAAAAGTGAATTAAATAAAATCACTTTTCATTCTCTGTATAATATTCTGTATTTTTAGTACAACGCCAAATAATCGCAAAGTGGTTTTATGATAGTTATTACAGAAAGTACAATTTATATTTATGCTTTTTTAATTTCTGTAATTAATGATTTGTTGTAAATAAAGATAAATCTGTGTATAAGATTAAATGAGTTTTTGTTTCTTTTTAAAACCTTATTTCTAATAAACCTCTGGTAATAACCACACATTTCCCAGCAAATCACTTGTCCATTCAACAAAGAGTTCCAGTAAAATCTCTCTCTGAAAAATTCATATTTTTAAATTATTGTTTTATTATTATTTCTAAGAGGAAAACAAAATCTTTCTTTCTCAGATAGGTCATACATTACTATTTGTTGGCATAAAAGACTCTTTTTCTGCAGAACGCAAACGATCAAAAAAATGATCCAAAGTTTTTTGTGTTTTTTTTTTTGAAGCTCAGATCAATATCAATAAATCCCTATGTACTTTTATATTAAGAGTAAGAAGCAGTTTAATTAAGTTTTTGATGTTGCAAAATCTATATGTAAAACACCACAAGTAGGCCTATGTACACACATACACACACACACACACACACAAATAAGCTAATTAAATTAGGTGCTGGTACTGTGCAGGTGCTGTGTGTGTATGCAATTTCAAATCCCATATATTTCACAGGGTTTATAACCAGTCAATGAAAGCAGCAAATGCATCAAGAAAAGACTCGTTTCTTTGCCAGTTGATTTATTGCCAGTTCGCATTATTGGTCTGAGTATTAGCACTTTGACATGTAACCTACCCAAGCAATATGAGGAACCTCTAATAATAATAACAATAATAATAATAATATAGTGCATACAATGGCATGTTTATTGGTCACATAATCTGCAAAATGATGTGTCATATAAAACTGGTAAGGAATATACTAGTAAAGCAATGCAAAACCTACAATAGTTCTGTGATGTCTGTCTGCACATGAAAAGGCCGAACTATAAATAGAACAATTTCCACTCCGTGGTTTTGTTGTTGAGAACCAAGCATTCGTTAAAAAAGTTTAAGTATTCAGGAAAAAAGAGAAGAAAACAATATAGACTTAACTGGCATACATTGTTAATTTAATTGTTTCAACTGAACAAACGCTGTGAACCTTTGTTCATGCACAAATGGCAATCAAACGGAAAAAGAAATGACGTTCAACTTCCGGTTCTACAAATAGGGTGTTCGGCAAAGTCAAGCCTGCACATCTCAAACGCATGCATCTGTGATTCATTCAAGAGGCGGATCGTCTGTGTACGTGGAGAGCGAGAGGAGAACACGCGCATGGCTTTAGAGAACATGGCATAGAGATCGTGTTTGAGTGAGACCAGCACGGGCCTGTGTGCGAGCTAATCAGCTGACCTGCAGCATCCCTGACCGCCTGCAGTGAGTCTGAACCGACCTGCGCTCAGCGTGTTATGCTGCCGAGAGAGGACTCGGGTGACGGAGTAACTACAGCGCCATGGCGGCAGAGATCCAGCCCCGTCCGCAGACACGAAAGCCCGTCCTGCTGAGTAAGATTGAGGGTTTCCAAGATGTGGTGAATACGGCTGTGATCATCCCCAAAGAGGACGGGGTTATCAGCGTATCTCAAGACAGGTCAGCACTCGTAGAAACCCACAACAATTAGGCTATTAGAATTACAGTGCCGAATACATTCAAAGCACTTTATTTGTACAGTGCACATTAATAAATGGCTTGTTATATAAAATGCATGTGACATACACGATACATAGACACATTTATCCTTTTTTGTTTTGGTGTAATAAACGATATTCGGAGGAATAAAGTGGAATCCCCAGTTATCATCACATAAAGAGTGCAAATTGAGGATCATTCAATTAAAAATGGGTTTGCGCGTACTGTAAAGCGAGCATTTGCCTGTGGTTATTATTATGCGAGTGGTTATAGTTCGTGAACGAATCGATGTTTTTAAAAGAATCGTTTAAGTGAACGAATCAATGTCGTTCACTGAATCAATGTCGTTCACTGAATCAATGTCGTTCACTGAATCAATGTCGTTCACTGAATCAATGTCGTTCACTGAATCAATGTCGTTCACTGAAGCGTCCCCTTTGAAACGCGTGACTACCTTTTCTTGCCTTCAGTAACTGATAAAAACCAACAGAAAGCATTCAGGACCGGGCTGTTAAGTATTTCATTAGTACCCTACTGAACAAATACAAACAAATACCCCCTTAAATGAAAAAGTCGCTGATTTGAATCTGAAAGATCCGAAGCGGAATTCCGGTTCATTCGCGAATGAACTGGAAAATCTCGTTTACAAAAGGAGGGGAAATGGCAGAAGAATTAGGTATGTGTAAAATCATCAATGACAATACACAAATCAAATTACATAGGGTCTTTCACTGAGACTCAAAATTTCGTTAAGCTATTATGATTTTTTCTAGATTGTTTTGGATTTCTATGCAGTTCGGTGATATGGGGAAACAGTCTGCATTATTGTGAAGATAACAATTACGGAGTCTCTTGGTAGATTTGTAGGCTTGCAATCTTAATAAAGAATAAACATTCAGAAAGTGCCATTAGTGGACTCAGTAAACCAATCTAAACTTTTTTTTGTGTGTGAACAGATTTCATAATATGTTAATAACACAGCAGTGCGCCCTCATATTTCATGCAAAACAACGTAGACTACAACAGTGCAGTGTCTTTATTTATTTTCATATATATATATATATATATATATATATATATATATATATATATATATATATATATATATATATATATATATATATATATATATATATATATATATATATATATATATGAGAAATGTCATTACTATTTATTTCAGCACTTTAATTCCAATTGAATTGTTTCGCAGCTCAAAGTAATGCGTGTCATATGATTGGCTTTGCAAGCACACCTTATGTTCATGCAAATAAGCACTCTAAAAGAGCCCCAGAGGTCATGTCAATGTCAGACCCATGACAACTTCCGTAACCAGTCAGGAGGAGAACTCACAAGTTATTTAGTATGCCCTAATGTGTGGGGAAGTATACAATATGTTATTTTACATATATTTTACATTTGAAGGACTGAACGTGTGCGTGAGTAAAAGAGCATTGTACAGAAATATGTCAATGCATGCACAATTGCACTTTTTTTTTTCTTTAGAAACAAACTAAATATGATAAGGTGTTTTTATGTAGAAAAAAAAACTAAATATGAAATGTTTTAAAGTATTTTAATCTTTTAACAGCCCCAACATTTTTTCATCATTTTTGTTTTTAGAGATTTAAATTGGCAAAGCAAAACAGAAATCTTTTCTACACTTAATATATATGGCCCACCATTTTGTACCAGCCCTATAATTTTGAGTACCTGCCTGATCCTGGCAATGTTTTTAACGTGACAACCAAGTTTAGTTCTTATTATGTTTGCCGTTAAGGTGATTAGGACTTATCTTAGCCAACAACATGTATTCTGAGATGTGTGTCCTGGTAATTTGTGTACTGTACTGCATGCCACTTTTGTAAGAAAGTGTCTGTTAAATACATGTCTGTAAATGTTATAATCAGGATTATTATCTATTATATTTAAATATTTATTTCAATTTGTTTTAGGACAATCCGCGTGTGGTTGAAGAGGGACAGTGGTCAGTACTGGCCTAGTGTCTTTCACACAATGCCAGGTGAGTCCTCAGTCCAACACCGGTCCTGTGCTGCTTTCTGAGTGCAAAACAGATCTAAACATTATGGGACATGCAACCACATAACTTAACAGGAATTTTACTACAAAAGTAAAAGCGTGAAGTGAAACCAGTATGGGCATGAACTTCAGCTTGTTTTCCCATTCAGACAGGAGTTTCATTTCTCATTTTTTTGCTTGCTTTCTAGTTAACTATTGTAGACTGTGGGTGTTTATTTATAGTCAAATGCTGATCAACGGATTTTGTTGGATAGAATCTCATGCTCATTGTCTTTGTCTTATGTTGCAGTGGCGTGTTCATGTATGTCATTTAACCCAGAGACAAGGAGGATCTCTATAGGCTTGGAAAATGGCACTGTATCGGTATGTTAATTAAACACTGTTCTTACACACACCTGCTTTCTATGTAGTAATACGTCACTAGCAGGTTCTCAGATACATTACTAAGCTTCATTAAGCCAGGCGTTTCTCTTACCAGGAGTTTGTGTTATCGGAGGACTACAACCAAATGACTCCTGCACGAACATATCAGGGTGAGTCACAAATGCAGTTGCAAAGAATTAAGTTTGTTTTCCTAACTTAACATAACTCATATAAACATGTTCAAGCATCACAATCGATCTCTCCCTACCATTTGATATGTCAGATAAAGTAATATTTCAACTCTTTTATTTTGTTGATATCCTTGAAAATGGTTTGAATCCAATTTATCCAAATTACATTTTAGAGCTTTTAGGAAATTTTATAGGTTTCTATTTTAAGTAACTCAAGTATGGTTTTTGCAATGAAAATGGCCAAAGGGCATTAATGATCATTTTTTTTTTTAGAA